AGAGCCAGTTGTAAATCAAACTAAGTATTATCAAGGAGTTTCCTGCAAACCAATCCTAGAAAAAAGAAGGTGGTCAGTGGGCAAAATGCAATTGTGGATGTCTTTTTTTTTTTTTTATCCTCACCCAAGGACATTTTTCCATTTTTTGTTCAGATAGAGTGGGGGGTGGGGGGAAAGAGAGAGAGAAACATCGACGTGAAGGGACACATCGAGTGGCTGCCACCCGCATGACCAACCAGGGCTGGGGACAAACTGCAACCAAGGTACATGCCCTTAGCAGGAACCGAACCCGGGTCTCTCTGGACCACAGGCCAATGCTCTAACCGCTGAGCCAAACCGGCCAGGGCTTGTGGATGTCTTTATCCTGCAAGGAAGTTAGCAAAGTTTCTGGGTTAAGACTGTTACATTGAGTTAATGTAATATTAGGCTCAGAAAGCAAGAGTCAGTTGACTGACAGAAACGTTAAGTGTGAGGAGAATTCAGTGGGGATTCAACAGAATAAAGAACATAAACAAAAGAGAGCTCATAACTACCTTTCTGTTTGCATATATATCTATAGCAGAAATGGCTGTCATGCAGAGAGGGAGCCCTTTGGCTACTGAATCTAATTGTTGATTATAATATCCTATAGGTCTATGATTATTCCTATGTTTTTAGTTAAAACTTCCAAAATATTTCCTTTATCTTCATACATAAAAAGTTATAAAGTTTGTAATAACAGTGTTCCAGAGGGAGGGCTTCAGATAATCCTTTAGAGATTTTAACTTGTTTCCCTTCTGAGTTCCACTTAGTTGGATCAGGTCAATTTGACTTTAATAGAACATACAGAGGCTCCACCATTAATGAAAAATTTGGAACCCAATTGTGACAATATCCACTCAAACCCTGAAATCTTCTAAGTTGATTTCTTGTTTTGGGAAGAGGAAAAGATAGGATTCCTCTGAGTCTTTCAGAATTCATCAGTTGCCCATCTTGAGATATGAGATAGCAAAGGTATTTTACTTGAAGTAAGCAAAATCGAAACTTACCGTGGAGAACTTATGTCATTGTTTAGCTAGATGTTGTAATAGGTAAACTGTGTCATTTTGAAAGTCTAAAATATCCTAGAGCATAAAGGTAAAGCATCTACATATTGGATTAGAGTGGAGTGTCTAGGAAATGTGACATCATTTAAATCAGCTTTTAGTATCCCAAAGAAATCTGTGGAACTCTGTATATTCCTGGGACATTTCAGTCCCAGGAAATTGGAGGTCTTCCCAGGTAAAGGCAAAAAGATAATGAACTGTTTGTTTCTACTGAAATGCTGAAAAAATATACTACATAAATATATTACTGAAAAAATATAGGCATGGGTAATAATAAGGTATATGAATTTAGAACAACAGGATGGCTGGGGATAACTATCTTATTTGCAGCTCTGAGATCCTGGGCAAATCTCCATTTTTTTCCATTTGTTTTTTTTTACTGAAAAGATAGGAGAATTACAGGAGTTATAGGTGGAATTATAAGTTTTCTTCTGTCTTTCTGGATAGATTAGTTTGCATTTTCTAGAATTTTATATAAATGGAATTGCATAGTATGTTCTCTTTTTTTTTTTTTTTCTCATTTTTCTTTTTATTCCTCACCTGAGGATATTTTTCTGTTTATCATCAGATAGAGTGGGAGGGAGGGAGGAGGGAGGAAGGGAGGGAGAGACAGAGAGACTGAGAGAAAGATCGATGTGATAGAGCCACATCAACTGGTTGCCTCTCGCATGACCCAAACAAGGCTGGGGACAAACTGCAACCGAGATACGTGTCCTTGACCAGAATCAAACCCATGACTCATTGGTCCAAGGGCCAATGCTCTAACCGCTGAGCCAAACCGGCCAGGGCAGGAATTACTCATTTTAAAGTGAACAATTCAATGTCAGTTAGTGTAGTCACAATGTTGTGTGGCCACTGCCACTACCTAGTATAAAAACATTTTCATCACCTCAAATAAAACCCTGTACCCATTGAGAGGTTGCTCCCCTGGAAACTACCAATGTGAATTCTGTCTCCTTCTCTTTCTTGTCCCCTGTTCCATGTTCCCTGCCAGCCTGTATATCTAGTGCCCACTTGTTCCAATGTCAGGGCACTAACCTGAGTCTTCAAGACCTTATTCTTTCTCCCAAGCCCGTGTCTCACTCCTCATGTCCACCTAACTCTGGGAGAATGGCACCCCCTCCCCAAATCACCACACCAGCCCCAATGGCTCCTTCCTCAGCTGGTAGGTTAGCACCTATCTCATGCTCTTCGGCCCCAGCATCAGCCTTCACAAAGAGAGCCCGCCTACATTTCACCCCTCGGTCCCACTGAACTCATAAAATGACTAACACCCCCAAACCTCCCAGGCTGTACACTTTCTTATCCTGACTCTGACCGGATCCTATTCCTCCACAGCCCCCTTCTACGCCCCCTTCTTCTTACCCACAATTCAACTTTGGCCAGGTCTCCAAAAATTTTAGCCAAGGACCCCAGAGGCCACAAGGAGCAGCAAACAATACAGGATCACAGAAGAGATTTCTTGCCCGTTTCCCAGCTTCTGGCTGTGGACTCCCTAAGGTCAAGCGCGTGGAGTTTGCCATAACAAAAAGAAAACAAAGAATGAGGACATCCATCTCTGCCCTGAGCTCCAGGTCATGGAGGGCCTGGAACAGGATGGCCTGCGGGTGGCTGACGTGACAGGGACCTGAATGTTTACCAGAGCTGTTGAGTTTAAGGACAAGATATCTTTTAAAATCTCTGTGATCTTTTTCCTTGAACATGCAGTGAAAATGAATGCGGGACGAGAACACAGCTGATGGTGAGGTTGCAGCAGAGGTGGTCCTTGCATGTGGGCACATCTCTCAGAGTCTGGGACAAAGGCCACTCCCAGGCAACTTGAGGCCCCAGAAGGATCTGGGCTGTCGGGTCATCTCCTGCTGTGGACGCCATGTTAGAAGCAAGGGATGAAAATTGGAAACGTTTATTGGGAGGACTGTAACCAGATACAGAAAGAAATTGGAAGATTAGAAAATAAGGTAAGGATTGGCCGTGTGAACAGGATGACAGGATCAGCTGATGACGGTAGATGACGTCAGAGTAAATCATGTGTCAGGGAAATTTAAGGAGGCAAGAAAGACTTCATTCAAGACCTTGCCCTAGAGCTGTGAGACTGAACTCAACACCCCTGACACCAAAGGCTGGAGAGATTTTAAGAACAGGGGAAGGAATCATAGGCATCTGCGTTTGCTAACTGGCTTTCCACAAAAGAAAAGAAAACCTCTCATGATATCGTGACAGGAGGTTTCTATTATTTCTTAAATTATTATTATTATTTTTAATCCTCACCTGAGGATACATTTCTATTGATTTTAGAGAGAAAGGAAGAGGGAGAGAGAGAGAGAGGGATAGAAACATCGATTGGTTGCCTCCCACATGTGCCCCCAACTGGGGATTGAATTCACAACCTTGGTATGTGCCCTGATCGAAATCAAATCCACAACATTTTGATGTACGGGACAATGCTCTCACCCACTGAGCCACAATGGCCGGGGCACAGATGCTTTTTACATCTTGGTTGTGAAGGTCCCTACCCAAGTTATGTTCCTACCTCCCTTACAGACGGACACAAGAATACCAGGAGGATTGAATTTTAAAGAGATGGGCCCAAAGTCTCTAGACAGATATTCTCTGGGTCACAACACTGGTAAGAAGCTTTTAAGGCTGATGTATATTTCAAAACAGTTGATAAAGCATCTGCAATTTCAAATTGTAATTACATTTCTAAAGGAAATGCCCTTAAAATGTGGAAGTCAGAGGCCTGCAGTCAAGAAGAACCTGTGTAGAGGTTAGTGACTGAGGGAACATGAAGGCCCCCAGGTCATCACCAAACTGCTTTCTGCACAGTGGAGGGAAGCACAGCTAAATCCTTTCTGCCAAGACCCAGTTTCAGCTCCATCCGTTCCTGCGATTTATAAACAGGTGCTAAATAGCTGAGAGACCCTGAACGGGGACAGGCTGTGATCTCCAATAAGGCTATTTTTCTGGAGTTTTCCATGGAGACATTCCCTTTCTCTCTACAGTCACCTTCCCTTTGATCAAATGTCATGTCCAAGGAAGAAGAGTATTCTTGATCCTACAACATGGCTGGTGTCCCTCGATTTGGCCTGATTAGTGACCTAAGTGCAGAAGAACTGACGTTCACCACATCGTTGGCTCTGATGCAAGTTTTTCTACGAAACCTACAATGGGAGTTTTATCAGCCTCTTGAGATTAGGAAGCCTCCCCCTCACACTTCACCTGCAGTCTCCCTGGCTTTGGGCGATGTCCTCATCTCCAAGAGATGCCAAAATACCCATCAGGTCGAACTTAGTGCCATAAAAGATGAGGTCATTTCTAATTCAGAGGGCATCAGTTTGAACTAAGACATTTGAGCCAAAACCTTGGTTGTATTAGCAACATTTCCAATTATGTTCTTTTAACAAAGAGTACAGTGTCCTACTAAATTTATGCAAGTAAGTCTATTGCCGCTAAATAAGAACACTCGAGAGGGCTTTAGTAATTTTTTTGGAGAAATCCAACAGTTAGACCAAGGGTCAGTCTTGCTATTCAAATGGGTGTCCTCTTGTCTATCTCTGTTGTCCACGACAGTGTCCAGGTATCCTCCACATGTCTTCCTGGAAGAGGGACAGGGCTCAGATTCCTGTGAGTTTATCACATACTCCCACTTGTCATCACATGGCCACTGCCCTTCCTGTGGAGAACTCGGTGTCACCTCCACTGTGGAGATGGTGCAAATGGGACCAACCAGAGATGGGATCTGATGTGAAATGTTATCTTAAGTAAAAAAGAATGACAACGTCAGCTCACAGATTTTAGTATTTATTGATTCAATGCAAGTCTTCTAAGTACTTTCCACCACTACAGCAAAGCTATGAAACAGGTGAAAAATGTTTTTTTTTTGGTTTAAGACCAAGGAGGAAGGGAGGAAAGTCGCTAGTAATTCACATCTAGCTCGACGGGCGCACTTTCAATGGAACTTATGGGGTTGGAGACTTTACACTGGTAGTTCCCAGAATCCTCTCTCCTGACAGGGTCTATTGTGAGGGTTTTGTGGTCGTCGGAGAGCTTCATCCTGTCGTGTCGAAGCGTCAGATGCTCAGCATTGAACAACCAGTGGGTGGAGAGCGCATCTGTGTAGCAGGTCATGACCACGGAGTCCTTCTGTTCTGTGACTTCGGTGTTGGTGGCTAGGAGGGTGGGCATTCTCACAGGCTCTGTGGAAAAACAGAGGAATCGAGTAATTGAGAGTGGGCTTCAGACCTGAGACCATGCCGCTTCCTCAAAGATCTCACCCGCTTACAGTATACAGTAAGCTCTATAAAATGTGCCAGAGGATGGTTCTGACCTCTGCACGACAATTGTCTTTGTTCAGGTGACAATGTGTAAAAAGAGAGCTGCTCCTGTTCTCTGATCCCGGATCACACCAGAGTGACCCCTGACCTCTTCCCATGGACATCTTTGTATTCTCAGCTCAGAGAACCACTTCTCAGCCAACGTGTTTTATAACCTTATTATCAGGTAAAATTATTTTCTCTTGCGATTTTATTGATCTTTTCCTAAAACTTTCTTTGCTTCAAAAAAGAGCAGGTCCCACTTATCATGTGAAATTTTATGTAAGGCAGACTTATCACCTCTGTCCTTCTCTGAAGCCAAGAGAACTTTACAATAAGTGAGAAGGCATTTATTTCTCAATAAATATTTTATTAGGCAATAAAGATTACCCAACCGTGTCTTCATGACCTTGGATCTGGAGAAGTTTCATCTAAAAGATGTCTCAGTTTGAGCCCTGGCCGGTTTGGCTCAGCAGTTAGAGCGTTAGCCTGCAATCCAGAGGGACCTGGGTTTGGTTCCTGCTAAGGGCACGTACCTCGGTTGCAGATTGTCCCCGGCCCTGGTTGGTCGTGGAGGTGGCAGCCACTCGATGTGTCCCTTTCACATCAATGTTTCTCTCTCTCTCTCTCTCTCCCCTTCCCACTCTATCTGAACAAAAAATGGAAAAATGTCCTCGGGTGAGGATAAAAAAAAAAAAGATTTCTCAGTTTGAACAAGACTTAAAAAATTTTTTTTTCTTTATTGATTTTTAGAGATAGAAGGGAGAGGGAGAGAGATAGAAACATCAAAGAAAAAGAACATTGATTGGCCGCCTCCTGCATACCCCTCACTGGGGATTGGGCCCACAACCTGGGCATGTGCCCAGACTGGGAATTGAACCAGCAACCTCTTGGTGCATGGGGTGACACTCAACCACTGAGCCACACCGGCCAGGCTTAAATAAGACTTTATTTCCTGGCCTATGGATTGAACATTGCCATGAAGCAAATCGTTAGAGAAAAGTGGATATAGTTTTAACAAAAGAAAACTTCTCGATAACGCAATACTCCATAGAGACACACCAAAAACATTACTAAGATCATGAACAAGACAACGATGCTGTTTTCCCCACTAATTTAACACAGTACCAGATGTTTGGCCAGAACAGTCAGACAAGGAAATGAAATAAGAAGTGTCTAACTTGGAAAGGAAGAAGAAAAATTTTCTCTTTGAAAGACAAAATTCTAAAAACTCAACCCCCCATATGAAAATGTTAGAACTAATAAATTCAGCAAACTTGCAGGAGAAAAAAAAATCAACACTGAGAATCATTTCCATTTCTTTGTAACAACAAGGAACAATCCCAACACAAAATTAAGGAAACTATTTCATTTACAATAGCATCAGAAAGAATATAATACTTAGGGATAAACTTAACCAGGGAGGTGGAAGATGTATGCACTGAAAACTAGCAAATGTTACTGAAAGAAAGTAAAAAAATAAATAAATGGGAAGACATTCATGTGCATGGATTTGAAGACACTCAACTATCTACATATTTGACATAATCCTTATTAACATCCCAAAGAATTTTTTTTCAGAAATAGAAAAGTCCATCCTAGAATTCATATGGAATTTCAATGAACCCACAAGTAATTGTAATGAACTTACAAAAGAAGAATGACATGGCAAATCTCACACTTCCTAATTTCAAATCTTACTACAGAACTAAAGTAACCAAAATAGTATGAGATTGGCATAAAAACTTCTGGTCATCAAAAGACACAATCAAATGGTTTAGACAAAGGAGCCAAGATTGTTCATTGGAGAAAGGACAGTCTTTATAACAAATGGTGTTGAACAGCAACATCTACCTGCAAACAATGAAGTGGACCATTGCTTTATACAATAAATAAATGCAACTCAAAATTGATTGGATCTTTGAGATAATACTAAAGACTATAAAACTCTTATAAGAAAATATAGGGGAAAATGTTATGACATTGGGTCTGGCAATGATTTCTTAAATATGACACTAAGAACATGAGCAAAAAGAAAATAAAAATTTGATAAATTAAATTTTCTGAAAATGAAAAACTTCTGTTCATCAAAGGACATTATCGACAGAGTGAAAGATGACTTATGGAATGAGAGAAAATACTTTGCTAATCATACATAAGATGAGGGGTTAACATCCTGAATACGCAAAAGACTACAGCTCAACAACAACAAAACCAGATAATTTGATTTAAAATGGGCAAAGCATTTGAATACATATTTCTCCAAAAAAGAAGAGATTTAAAAATAGCCAGTAAGCACATGAAAAGAGACTCAATATCATTATCATTAGGAAAATGCAAATTAAAACTATTGGGGTCTCAGCCCCTGCAAAGACAAGGAGCCTGTCCTGTGTGGCCAGAATTTTAAAGACTCTGCATCCAGGTTCCAAGCTCCGAAGAGACTTTCGATCATTCACTTATTCAATCACCATATATTTCATCTTAATTCATCAAAAGCAACTGGGTGTTTGTTACTGGTCCCTGAGCGGCTGCAGGTGTAGAGTGGACAGTGAGCAGGCCAAGCCCTTCCCTTCATACCCAGTGGGAGTGACGCCAACACCTCAGGAAACAAACCAGTGATTTCAGGTCCAGGGCCGGGAGCTGGGGCTCGGCCACCTGAGGGGAGGCCTGGGCGCTCCAGCACTGACTCCCTGTGACTGCAGGCAGTTCGGTTCTAGGTAAGAATTAATTAGTCCTCCATTTGTTATTACTTCCCAGAACAGAATGTACCCCTCTGAGCTGAGGATGCCTAAGGAGAAGGATCTGAACCCATGGGTGGTCTAGGGATGCACTGACACCTAATGAGGCCCCTGGGGGTGGAGAGAAGATGGGGCTGTGGCTACAGACAAACCTCGAGTGACTCTGGTCAGCTGCTCATGGTCTGTGTGACTCTGCTTTGGCTGCCAGGTTGTCATTGCATTAACTGTAAACTAGTCACAGTATCTGACCTAAGTCCTCGAACAGGGAAGCTGCTCAGGCTCAGATAAGAGAAATTTGTTCTTTATCAACTCCAAGAGAGAATCCCCAGGGCTGATCCCTGGAGGCTGAGGAGCTGCGAGGGCCATCTTCTGTCCTCTGTTTGCTTCAGGTTCGCTGACTTTTCTTTGGACTCTCCTAAATCCCCCAGAACAATCAGCCAGTGATCTGGAGATCTTGTCTGGCTGTGGTCTCCACACACAGTCTCAGGGGAAGGACCAGGCTCCATCCCTATCCACATGTAGCTTTAGGGGCTGAGCCCTGGCTCGTGAGCAGCTCAGGAGCCTTGCGACTCGGGCACTCAGGAAACTTGATTTAACTCTGCCCTTCCCTGGAGGCCACACCCAACCGGACACAGGTCCCCCGGGGTCCCTGGAACCAGGAGCCCTGGGACAGGAGCCTGAGGAGGGGTTGCCAGAGCTGAGTTCTCTGTGAGGATCCCACAGGGCTCCTCATGCCAGGCCCTTAGAGAGCCCTGCACGGTCTTGCTCAGGGTCATGGTGATGGGGAGGGGCCCAGGGGCTGGACCAAGACTGGTCTCTTTCTGATGAGTTACTCCCATCAGACTGGTCCTTCTCTCTGTGGTGAACGTCTGCAGGGGTCGCATCTGGGAAGAGAACTGTGAGCTTAGGAAGTATCTCCACTGTGTGTGTCCTGCATTAAATGCCCAAACCAAACCTGGGATATGATGCAGAGACAGATGGAGGCAGAGTCCAGGGCTGTCAGTGCTGCATGTGAAATGGAATTCACCCCACCCCACACCCAGAGGTAGGAGAGAAATTACTCACGGTATACATTGAGATGTCCAAATCCAATTTCTTTGTTTGAATCGTGAAGGTAGGCTATTACAGTGTAGATTCCTGAGTCACTCAGGTCGACCTTGTTTATGATCAGGGATCCTTCAAGATTTGCTACCTGCCGGCCGTTGTATTCAGGACCTGTTCTGTATCGTCTTATGTGCCACGCAACAGATACAATAAAATGTCTGTAGTCGGTCTTTAATCCTTTGTACCAAACGAAGCCTGCAGTTCTGGGAGGTCTATTGAGCATACGTAGAACCACAGTTTTCCCTTCAGCAGTATTGATCGACTGAACACTAAGTTGGGCACTGGCGGGCGGACTCCAGAAGATTAAGAGCGAGACTAGGAGGGAAGAGAGAAATTGGTCAATATTTGGATCTATGTATTGGGGTGGAAAGATGAGGCCCTGGACCCTAAGCATTTCTTTTTGTATCTCAGGCTTGGTCTGCGTGTGACTTTGTGTGTGCATCTCCTGTGGTCAAGGTCATCAGCATGGCCATTATTACTTTAGCACCTCTGAACCTGTTGTTCTTGTTTGTTTTGAATACTATTCCCCATATGTCTGCCAGGCTCACCCCTCACAGCCCTCAGACCCCTGCTGACACTCAGGGGAGCCCTTGGGAGACACCTTCCCTGACCACCTCCTCTACAGACCCTCTGACTCCACTCTCCCCCTGTCCCTGCTCTGTCCCCTTCATGGCACTGTGGGTACCATATGTCCCCTCTAGATCTTCTCTTGTCTCTTTTCTCTGCATAGAATGTGATCCCCACGCAGGCAGGAGATTTTGTGACCTTGTCCCCCAGGGCCTGCAAACACCTGTGGATGGATGAATGATGTCCCCACATCCTGGCTGTAGTTTTCCATTTCTGGGGTTGGTGCTAAGAACAACGTTTAGTGCCCCTGGTTAAAATCTTTCTGGTGTCTCCCAACATAAATTGCTGCTGTTATGGTCAGTTTTCAAAATGCAATACTTAGTGATGAATCACTTATTGAATGGATGGCAACTGATGTTCTCCTGCCTCTCACCACTTCCAGATCTGGGGATGTTTTTGTTGCTGAGCCCCTCCCCCATCCTGCTGTGCTCCCCTATTCTTTCCCTCAAGTCCAAAAGAGAAGCCCCCAGTCCCCGCTCACAGCACTGTTTTCTCCAAGAGATCTCTGCCAGTCTCTGTCTCCCCTCCTCCCGTCCACCCCCAGGGTCGTCCCCTTCTTACCGGCCAGCAGGAGCCCCTGCCAGGGGACACGTCCTCTGTGGGCAGGGATGGGGGGAGATGCCATGGTGTCCGCTGCCTGCTCTGTGTGGGAGAGGAGCTCGGGGTCCAGCCAGGCTCACAGGCACCTCTGTCCAGACTTTGGGGTCTGCTGTCGCTCTTCCCTGTGCACTTAGCCTCCTCCTGGGGCAAGATGTTATATTTGGTCATGTAGGTCAGGGCGGGGTCTGTGCCCAGGACCCTCCCTCTCCCACCCTCATTACTGCAACCCATCCCCTCCTCCCAGGTTACTGTGCCTCTATGTTTTCCTGGAAACTGGTGAGGCAACTGAACACACACACACACATATACATACATACACTCACACACACACACACACACACACACACACACACTCACATGCTGTGTTCAGAGAAGCACTAGCCTGGGGCCTTCAGGTCCCGGCATTGCCCGGGGCTCCCTGTCAGGTACGCAGTAGCCTCCCCCACAGCCCTCTCTCTTTCACCTTTGATGTTTCCCTTCAGAGGTGGAGTTTGGGGATCCCTCAGAAAACCTTGTCACCCCCGCTGTACACCGGATCACCTGTGAAATTTTGTAGACTGTGATGTCCAGGTGACATCTTAAAAATGCTGCTCCAGCAGCTGCCCAGCTGAGCTGGGTGCCCAACCAGAATGAGGTCCCACGATGTGGGGGTGGGATCCTCCCCCCTGCTGTGCACAGGGCGGGTCTGCAGATCCGGTTAAACTGCAGGATCTGACTTGGCGGGTGTGCGGTGCACCAGGGACCCTGCACCTCACGAGCTCCCAGGGGAGGTTGGTCGCTGGCCTGTGGAGCACACTTGGGACAGCGAGGCCGGTGGGGACCCTGCCCCCGAGGGGAGGGCCACTCACCCCAGCATTGGCCTCTGCTGGGCCTCGGTCTTGGTCTGTCAGCACCCCACAGGGAGCCCCTGGGTCCCCCAACCTGGGGATTACTTCTGTTTGTGACACAGAAACCCAGCTGGGCACCGGGTCTTCCCCGTGTCCTCAAATGTTCTGGAATGTTGATTTCCTCCCAGCAGGAAGGTCACAGAGGTGACTCTGGGGTGAAAAGGGGTCAAGATGGGTGATGACCGCAGGTTGTCACCAGCATGTGCTTTGCGTTCAGGGACAGAGACCCAGGACCAGGGGTCTCCGAAGGACCTGCAGTTCCCGGGCGTGAAGGGACAGGTGCCCTGAGTATACTGGGAAGAGAGGCCTGTGGTTGGTGGTCAGGAGGTTGGGGGCTCCCTGGTCCTCGGGGACAGTTTCAGGGAGACTCTTCCTCTCTGTCTGTTGGCTGAACCCATCCATGTGCTCCCTGACCGTTGGGGCAGCCTCTGTCCTCTGCCTGGGGGACTTTCCAGTTGTCACCCCACCTTGCCCATGGATGGTGTCAGGCAGGGGTGGGGAGCAGCAGAGAGACCCCTGAAAAAGCAGGTGCTCCTGGACCCTGTCAAAGTCCAAACCTGTGAAGGATTTTAATGAGTTTATTTGAGCCAAACTGATGTCAGATGACTGAAAGCAACGTCTCAAATCCTGAGAAGAACTACAGTTTTGCAGTTTATTTTATACATTGTCAACAAAGGAAAAGGTGAAAAATGTTGCATGAATCCATTAGGAGGTGAGAGAAAACATAGCTGGGAACTCTGTAGAATTGGATAAAAGGCAGAACAGAGAAACAGATGTTATTTTTACGTTGGTGGGTCCAGGATACTGAACCTTTACAGCACAGAGTGTCTGCTGGGAACCAGACAACATGAGGGCTCTGTGGTCTCGGCGCTGGTCCCAGAGGCTACGTCTTCAATAGGTCTAGCAAAGAAAATTACTCTGATGAGTCTAAGTTATGTTATCCAAGGTGCATCAGAACAGGGAACAGGGCTCCCTTAAGGTAAAGACTGACCTTTGCTGCCCTGGCCAGTCTGGCTCAGCGGTTAGAGCGTCGGCCTAACCGGGTTCAGTTCCCTCTAAGGGCATGTAACTCGGTTGCAGTTTGTCCCCGGCCCTGGTTGGTTGTGCGGGTGGTGGTCACTCGATGTGTCCCTTTCATGTTGATGTCTCTCTCTCTCTCTCTTCTTCTCTCTTCCTCCCACTTTATCGGAACAAAAAATGGGAAGATGTCCTCGGGTGAGGATAAAAAAAAACAAAAAGACTGACTTTTGCTAAGGAAGTTATCGGCCTTGGGTATGACTACCTGCTGTCAGCTGTCCAGTTAGGCATTTGTGATCAGACCATCCAGGGCAGCTGACCCTGAGCCCTGGACCGCGGTGGGCTCTGACCTCCAGGCTGACAGATCAGTCAGTTGGGGCCCTGTCACTGTGTGACTCAGACATTCTGACTCCACCTCAAGGCAGAGTGAACCCAGGGAGAAGACAGGTGTTGTCCAGAGTATTATGAGTCCAGTGTCAGGAGGACTGTCCCCACAGGGATATGTGCTGTTCCAGGAGGAGCTCTCTGTCCCCAAGGTTTCAAAGGAAGGGCCTGGTGAGATCTCTTCTGAGGCTTTTGGGAGAGGGTGCCTGCCTGGATGGTTGCTCCCCCAAATGTCCTGTGTGTTCCTATCACAGCACTGGGGTGTTGCATTCATGTCATTGGTCCCTGAGCTTGTCTGTCACCTGCTCTAGGCCTCCCCACAGGGCCCAGGATCTGGAGCAGCTTTTCCTGGAAACTCAACTAGGGGACCCTGTTGGTTCTTTGTCAGGAAAGGGGAGGCCCCCATGGGACACTCAGCACCTCTGAGATGGAAGCAACCACAGATTGTAAGTTCTGTCCCATCCTGCACAGGAAGTACATCTTGTCCCTCAGGACACCATGGACTGGTGGGGGGTCTTCAGGGACCACAGGCAGGTGTTTCACCGACCAGGGACCTTGGGGATGGGGAGTCGTGCCCTGATTTCGTTAAGGTAAAGGTGGGCTTTTACCTGCCCTGCAGTAACTCTACCTGGGTTGGAAAATCTAGAGTTTCTGCCAGGTCAGGTCTCTGTGAGAAGAGGAAGGACATAGGCTGCTGCCCAGGCCCTGAAGGGATGAGACGTCACTCCCAAGGGAGGGATGGGAAACGCTGTGATATTCTGAGAATAAAATGGGGTCTGACCCTCACTGTTAGGAGGTCCCTGTCTCTCCCTCTTGACTGTATGAAAAGTAAAGACCTGGCCCTGGAACACCCCTGGGGACTTGGCGACCTCCTCCCATGCGAACATGAACGCCTTCGTGTCTATAAGGAGCATGCTCTGACTGCAAGTATCACACAGGGTGACAGGCTGCCATTGTGTGGTTTCCCTCAACCATTTATGAGGGTTTACTGAGCATCTGTGGTGTGTCAGGCCCTGGGCTGGGCCCTGGGAACACTCCACAGAGAACAGGACATACGTGGGCCCTGCACTCATGGACTTGACCTTGTAACAGAGAGACAGGCTCACAGAGAAATCTCAGCACCGAGAATATAATTATAATTCAGAAAAGGGCCATGGAGGGAAAGTTCTGGTGCATCCGGAAAATGTACTTGAGTCTCAGCTGGTGTGGGGATCACAGAGAACTGATCAAGTGACCTCTTGGCTGAGACCTAAAGCATGAGTGGCCATTTGTCCCCTGAGGGACAGAGGGCTGGCCTTTGGTGGGCAGACGCCTCGCTGGGTGGAGGAGCTGCCAAAGTCCTGTGTGGGCAGCGTGGAGAGTGAGGAGGACTGTGGACTCAGTGATGCTGGTGAGGTTGGACCCTGCTGGGCTGTGGGTGCTGCTGAGGTGGAGTCAGCAGCCATCTGGAGAGGCTCCAGGCTGTGGAGTAGCTCTGCTGCCCTCTGGTGGACAAGCAGAAAAATGTGCAAGAAAAAGTCACGTTCAAGTTATGTATTTGTTTTGTATTTTCTATTCAACTTATACTTTAAGTAATATTTCATCTGTGCATATATAATTTTAACATATTTATTGAGTTATAGTTTACATATAATAAACTTAACGTATTGAAAGTGTATAGTTTATTAAGTTTTTCCAGATGCATGCACCAGAGAAGTTACAATGAAGATAATGAACATGTCCCTCACTCTTAAAGTCTCCTCATGCCCTCTTGTATCTCTTCATTCTGCCTGTCACCACTCTCTCCCCAAGTGTTATTATTATATTTCTGTTGTTATACTTTAGTTTGCATTTTAGAATTTTCAAAATTTGAATCATATAATATGTAATTTGGGGCAGAGTTTGGCCTCTTGACTCAACTCGAGTATTTTGAAGTAGTTCTATTCCATTGTAGAGATGCACCAAATTTGTTGATCCATTCACCTGTTCGTCAAATACATTTGTGTTATTTTAAATTTTAGACTATTACAAGTAAACATTCCATAAACATTTGTGCAGAAAAGTCTTTAACATAAAGAATTAGGTGCTTGCAAAGGCCAGCACCAAACCAAAGGTGGTTTCAAGGCCACGGCCCCCATCCAGAGGTAAAGAAACACTTGCTTCACCCTGGCCGGTTTGGCTCAGCCGTTAGAGCATCAGCCTGCGGTCCCGAGAGACCTGGGTTCAGTTCCCGCTAAGGGCATGTACCTTGGTTGCAGTTTGTCCCCGGCCCTGGTCGGTAGTGCGGGTGGCAGCCACTCGATGTGTCCCTTTCACATCGATGTTTCTCTCTCTCTCTCTCTTCCTCTCTCTCCCTCCCACTCTACCTGAACAAAAAATGTCCTCGGGTGAGGATAAAAAAAAAAAAGAAACACCTGCTTCTTTACATAAATTTGTGTCTGCCAGAGCCCACCCACAAGTCAACACAGGAGGAGAAACAACAGCCCCTTCTCCTTCCAGCATCCAAACTACACACACGTGCATCTCAAGGCTGAATTTTATTCACATCTGGATTCTCAATCACTAGGAGTGGGAAAAGGGGGGTGTTTAACCTTTCAGTCCGTCTGATGTAGGAGGGAACATAAGAAGGAACGGAGCATTGCTGCCAAGTGCCAACAGACAATTCGTGGCACGTCTGAGTTTAACTGCAGGTTGTGTGAGTCCGGGCGAGTGACCCCACCTCCAGAAGCCTTAGTTTCCTCGTGTGATATCATACGGT